CAAGATTCCCTTGTCATTTATTCCTCCTTAGCTCAGTTGGTTATCCTCTTGGGTTCTGTTTCTTTCTGTAATCAAAAGGTTTTGGGTTCAATCCCTGCCACTGCCTTTTATTAATTTTGCCTGGCCCCTTAGCCTCTCGCAATGGCCCTAGCCAACGGCTGGCTAGAGTCATGGCTTTAGATAGCATTTCCCCTGGCTAGCTCCATACCTTGAGACTAAATTGTCCTGCCATGGGTGCGATCGCGACTCCATGCCCTATGTCTCTGCGATCGTCAAAGAAGTCCTTCGGTGGCAGCCTGTGTCGCCATTTGGTGTGTCCGTCCAGCTCCAATGATTCCCGCGCTCACGTCCCTGTCAGCGCTTCCCCGTCTTTTGACGACTGATGATGATGAGTATCGCGGATACAGGCTTCCTGCAAGCTCGATTATTATTGGAAACACCTGGTCAGTCACTTTATTCCCGAAGACATGCTTGCAATCGATAGTTGTTGCCACCTCTAGGGGAATTTTGCACGACCAGATATTTCAACAAGACGACGCGCTCCACCCATTTTTGCTTAACATGTGCAGGGCATGTATCCAGATCCGCATTCCTTCCGTCCAGAGCGATTTTGCTCGACGGGAAGCCCAATCCGGCTGTAAAGGACCCTGCCTCTGCTTTTGGCTTCGGGCGAAGGTGCGATTAATTTTCTCCCCGTATGGTCGTGGGCTTATAATTACCTAGAATGTACCCAGGGAGACACGTGGCGGTCTCGTCGCTCTGGATTTCGGTTGTGTCCATCTTGGCAACCTTTAATATCAACAAGGCCGTGTACGAGGAGGGCCACATCATTGAGCCGTCGTATGAATATCTGTCTGGTGCGATAAGGTACGTGTGTTTCTCACCGTTTTGTTCAGTGCACCGCTCCCTTTCAGGTGCGCCATCACTCCACGGTCGAAGGAGGCGGTTGCACTTGTTCTGGGAGATAATCATGCGTGAATATGTTCCCAGTTGGTTCCTGGTGTATTAATTATAAGAATGCATAATCGCGCCTGGGAAACGAAAGTCAGAACAAATCCAGCGACCATACCGTCGGGAGGAATCGGTTCAAACCTCCTCTCCTTATATTGAAACGGGGACAGGCGGGGACACGCTTCGCCGCCAGCGCCGAGCGGACAAGTTGCGCAGACGACGCGGAGGCAGCGTCCGCCTATCGCGTTTAATCAACAGATGAGACAGATATAAGGCGCGCCCGCACGCGAGGCGAGCTTGACGGACACCTGGGACGCGGGTTTGACGACGCCTTGGCGCGGGCTTGCTTGGTCTTTGAAGCGGGGTTCACCTGGGGGGGGGGGGGGGGGGGGTGCTGCTCCTGAGTGGCATAGTCACGGTCTGCAGACCTTGGCAGGGGTCCGTCCCTCAGCGTCGCCCGTCCGCCTACAACGTGACTATACGTCGTCCAGGAGTCCAGGAACACAGCGGGAGAAATTTGACAGATGGAACATGAAAGGCACTCACGTCGGGCAGAATACGACTACGCTGAATGAAAAAATCCATGGAGGGATGAGAGACGCCGCCGGACGGAGGGACGGCGGATCCTTGCTTTCTGGTTTGTGGTCCGTGCATTCATGCCTGGCACTTGATCGAGCATCTCGGCGTGATGCGCTCTCGATGAAGCAAAATATAATTTTCTAGATGCAACCTAGCCTTTGAAATACGCGTAGCGCGCTCCCAGGTCCAAAAGTCCGACTGCAAATTGGATCCGCATTCGGGGCATTGATTGGAAGGGGGGTTCATCGATGTAATAATAAATGAAGGGCTTAGGAAGGCCTCCAAAATTTCGGGGACATACCTGCGCGACCTAGAGGCGAACAAGACCTGAGGCAAGAGGCAACGTGGAGTCACAGTCACAAGTGAATGTAACATTGCACTGCCACTACCTTCTTTCACCCACAACGGACTTGCGCGCTCCATGATATTCAACGACAGCCCCAACGAGATTTCTGACTCTATGAAAGTTGGATGATGTTTCCAGATGAACCGTGGTCATGTCAGGATTCCAAGTGGCGGAACAATTGGGCCGTGAGCCAACCGTGAGCGATGCATATCATATCTCGCTGTTTTCTGGAATCTGACCACTGGCAGCGAAGACTAAGGTTTGCAGCGTCGTCACAAATTTACAGTTAGCGGATAATCACCACGGTGAATTTCCCGTCTGGGGGACACTGCAACCGGAATTCGATTACAAAACGTTACTTCAGCCTTGGTTTTTAGCTATTTCGGTAATGTGCGACTCCCGAAATGCATAGTGCCCGGGGACCGTCTATACGACCAGGCAATTTTCGTCTCTCGGTATGCACTGATCTTTCTTCGACGCCACCGACTGACACCGTGCGATCATTCATGCTTTTCTCACTTTACAGTGACGCGGAACGAACACGTAACACGAACAGTTCCAGAGTCCAATTCAGGACGTGCGGCCCTCCGCCGAACTCCAATATGTCTTCGGATCAATGTAAAAATGCAGCCCATGTCACCCTCGATCAAGCCTAGCAGCAGGAACATGTTGCTCTACGCACTTGCCGTACTGCTCCCCCTCTCTCGTCTCTATGTCGGCGCATCCAGTGCATCCTGCGCCTGTTCACCCGTGATTATTCCTGTCCACGTCGATGTGCTCGTTCCCAAAGACCCGACGGATGTGTTTGGCGGGCTGAAGAGCAACGCAAGCGCGCTACGCCGCGTCGACGACACGTATAACATCTATGGTGTCTTCTGTGAGCCGAGAATCATGGCCCCGAAGAGTTCAGGCGCGTTACAGCCTCGGATTTGCCGCCGGCGATGATTCTAATAATCTTTCTCAGATGTGCTACAACTCCTTGTGCACGGGATCACATATACCAGCGAATACTGGTCGCCCCCGGTCGAGGAATTCCGAAACTACTCTTACGCGGCCTTCTCATGCGATCGCGGGCATTCATCGCTTGCTGTCGATTGGGTGGGCGTCGGGTTGAGCTCGCGCCCAACAAATGCGTCCGATGTGCAGTATCCGACCGTCGCGGCCGCCGTCTCGCAGGTGGCGCGCCACCTAAAAACAATATCCATTCTCCCGGGCGTCGTACCCTTCAACACGATCATCGGCATCGGGCACAGCGCCGGGTCAGGCCTGCTCAACTTTGGCGCCATCGTCGACGGCGCGCAGTCGCCCTTCGACGGCCTCATACTGACGGCCTCGCTCATCTCCAACTCAAGTGCGGTGCCCCCCATCTCCGTGGTACCGCCCGCGCGGGACGTGGATCCGCTCCGCTGGGGCACACTCGACCCCGGATATGTCACGACGACCAGCCGCAGCCTCTTGTACCCCGCGGACCCCGCCTCGTTTTCGCCCCGCATGATCATATTGGACGACTTTACGAAGGACGTCGGGTCCGTGAGCACGCTCCTGCAGATGTCCACGACGAGCCTGCCCGTGCCGCAGTACGCCGGCGCCGTAGCAAAAATCGTTGGCTCGGAAGACCAGATATATTGCATGGGCACCGGGCGGTGCGATGATGTTGCGGCGTTGACCACGGCGGAAGGCGTGCTCTGGCAGGCTGTGCAGAGTTTTGAGCTGACCGTGTTGCCGGGAAGCGGCCACGATCTCAATCTCGATTTCTTCGCGGACGCGGCATTCCGTACATATTCTGCCTTTGTCAGTAAGTTTTCTGGCGAGATTTAGTGAGCCAAGCATGCCACTACCTCTCGATGAATTTATCATGATTCAGTTTGCGGGTTATGAGCTAGTTGGATGAAATCACCCCAATTCAGCGATTCCTTGCACATGTAGAATTGCGCTCACACCGGACAGTACATCTCCCTTGACTCTGCAAAAATTGTCCACTATAGCCCCCACACGTTCGAAAGGAATCAAGCCTCCTGCCTCTCCCAAAGATTCTTCTATCCACTAGCAATATGAAACAGAGGCAATCGCCACGGTCTACCAAAGCTCACTAACTCCGTTTCATTCCTCGCTAATTTGCACCTCCTGGCGGTCCTCAGCTCTGCCAAAAAAAAAAAAGGAATGACCGCAACTACTAGTGCCTTCAGGAGGAATCCAACGCCCTCTGCTCTTTCAAAGCACAACTTGTCAGGAGAGCCCTGCAACAGAAAAAAAGGCGGAAATGGACGTTGTGTGTCTCCAGGAGGATTCGAACCCCCTTCCTCCTTCGACTGTTAACAACATAAGCGGAGGCGACCGCCACAGTCTACGAAGGCTTACTTACTCCCCTCCGTCTCGTTCAAGTCATACCTGGAAATGCACCTCGCTTGGGCAAGAAAAAGTCAGAGTGAATGCTATCAATGCTCTCGGCCCGGGGAGGAATCGAACATCCACCTTCTTCAAGTGTTCTCGGTTTCGTACGAAACAGTTTCAAACAGAGGCGACCTCCACGGCTCGCTTACTTCCCTGCAAACATGTGTACCTCTTGGCGGCCCCCCCCAAAAAAAACCTATCTCGAAATTGTTTATGCCCTCGAGAGGACCCTCTCCCCCTTCAAAGCTTAACACGGTACACAATATAAAACAGAGGTGACCACCATGGTCCACGAAGGCTTTCTCATTTGCTTTCGCTCCTTCCCAAGTCTGCCTGGAAATTTCCCTCACTTCACACTGCAACATAAAAATGCAAACATCACATTTCATGCCTTCGACGGGAATCGAACCCCTTCTCCTCCTTAACAGGTGTACCCTTTATACAATATATACAAACCATGAGGCGGATGCGACCGCCACGGTCCACGAGGGCTTATTCACAATCTTTCTGATATTGGCAAGTGCGCTTGAAAGTCAAGCATAAGTTCAATCAAAAGCCTCGGGCGGATGAGCACGGCACAAAAGCCGTCTGATGGCTCGAATGCCTTTGCGCAACCTGTCTATCTGTTTGAGGTGACCATCATGATCCACCACGGCTTACAAGCTCTAATTCTTGTCCTTGAAAGTGTGGATAATTTTGAATGGACGTAGAAAAAAGGGATTGCGGCCCGTCATGCCCTCGGGAGGAATCGAACCTCCTTCTCCTCGTTAACATCCTTCGCAGCGGTTGAAAGAATTCGAGTCGACCACCATGGTCCACGAAGGCTTGAAACCTACCTTTTTCAGTCTTGTAAGTGCAGCTACCATGTTGAGTGGATGCAGATGCAGAGCTCAAGCAAACTAAAAGTGTTGCCCCATGCCCCCGGGAGGATTCGAACCTCCACTCCTCCTCGCTGAACACGCAGAAGATAGAGCGATCAATTCGAGGCGACCACCATGGCCAACGAGGGCTTTCTTCCTCCGGTTTGCGCCCTGGGAAGTGTAGCTAAAATAAAGCTGAATTAGTATAAAAAGAATTCGTCAACATAGTATGCCCCGGGAGGACTCGAACCCCTGCTCCTCGTACATGCACACTTTCGGCCGCAAATGAAGCGGAGGTGACCACCATGGTCCACGGGGCCTTGAAATCTACATTTTGCTCACCGGTAAGTGCGGCTAAAATGTTAAGCTAGATGCAGAGATAATAAAAAAACCACTCGGAACCCCTGGAGGATTTGAACCTCCGTCTCCTCATTAACATCCTTCGCAGCGATTCAAGAATTCGAGTGGACCATCATGGTCAACGGGGCTTGCAGACTGTATTTAGCACTTGCGGCCAACATGGTGAGTTGGAGGCAGAGAAAAAAAAACGACAATGAAATGGCCATGCCTCCGGGAGGAATGGAACCTCCTTCTCATTGAATTACTCTTCGGCGAAACGCGAATTGAGTCGAGGCGATCACCATAATCCACGGTGGCTTGCCAACCGTATTTCCTTCCCTTAGCAGTGCAGATAAAAATGTCGAGTGGATGCAGAGCTAAAAATGCATAGACACCAACTCTACATGCCCCCGGGAGGAATCGAACGTCCGTCTCCTCATTGAACTCCGCGACGCATTATTACCCATTAACTTGAGGGGATCACCTTGATCCAAAGGGGCTCACATGCTACGTTGAGCGCCCATATAAGTGTGGTTAACACAAGGTTGTTGGGTAGCTAAACCACCGCTGAATTAGATCTCCCGCAGCCACCGGCACCTAGATAGATAAGCGATCTAGCTAGCTTTAATTCAAAACAGATTTACGAATGATATCAGGCCAGTTTGAGGTGTTTTAAATGACCAAACCCGTTAAACGACCCAAGTGGTCCGTGCATTATTGCCTGAATAAGCCAAGGGGGTACCGGCATTCAAAAAAAAGATATAGGGCCGATTTTCTTTTTTCAACGGTCCCTGGCGGACCTACCTACTATGTAAGCATTCCCACGGTTCATATAAGGCAATTATGTGATGACGTTCAGGAGCCGGAGTTCTCCGAGTGACTACATCCCACCTATAACGCTCATGGAGACATTGCGACTGCCATGCGGACAAAGCGCAAGATCCACAGATTCAAAAATTGCAAGGTAATCTATATAGATGAAGGAGAGTTATTGCATCAAACGTGATTCCGCCACAATTAACCTCAACTTCGTACCTGCGTACAAGCCTTAAAGGCGGTTGACAAACAGACCACAATCGATTGCCATATATGGACTCAGCCCCCACGAAATCTGCTAAACATATGTTTTCCAGATGGTTCCCAAACACCGCAAACCTTGCAATGACCATTCAAGCCATTTTGAGCCCAAAAATAAAGGGTCAACTTTTTTTTTTTCGAGCCTCTCGGCTGGACCAACCTACCGGCCCTTGGTCGCCGGTTTGATTACCGGTGCCCCCTTGGAATAAGCCGTTATCGGGAAGTTTTGCCTAGAATAAGATATCAGCCTGGCAATAAGCTGCTCTTGGACGTTCGACACGTCTCATAAGAGTTACACGGCTCGTGCGCCCAAGTTGACCTAAAGGACGCGAAAAGTGTGCGTTGATCGCTTGACGCGACGCACATGATGGGAAAACGGAGGAGATCAAACAGACGCATTGAATGCCGCATTGCAACGTTGGTGTGGCTCACGCGTCTTGCCTCCTGCGCCCATACCCCCACACCCCCACCCCAAAACCCCCCCAGCCAGCCATGCCCATCAGAAAAGCCGCCCCCGCCGGCGAGCCCCGCCACTCGTCCCGCATCAAGGACCTGCCCAAGGTCGAGGCCCCCGCGCAAAGGACGCTGGAGAGACCAACGGCGACGCTGCTGCCCCCGACGCCGACGCCGAGGGCCCGCCTGCCAAGAAGGTCAGCACCCAGCTGTGTCTATGCCACTCAAGCAGCTCCAACTGACCCCTCGCGTAGGCCAAGCCCGCGAACAAGGCCGCCGCCGCGAAGCCCCCCGCATACAGTGTGGGTGTTCCTTACTGCCGTCGAACGACTCAGAATAGGTTACCAGTGCAACAAGGCAAAGGTTTCACGGCCAATGAAGCTAACAGAGCAACGATCATCGCAAAAGTGGGATGCATTGTGGGCGGGCTGGTTTGTGGCTGGTTGAGCCAGCCGTTTGGTCGTCATGCCACGATTATCGTCGTCTCTCTTGTCGGTGGCAAGTCTTGCTCTGTTTGGATCGCAACCCCCGTTCGCATCTGAAATTTCGTAGCTTGCTTGATTCTCATGTGGGTCTGACCAGACAGCTGGGGAACCCTGACCGCCGGTGCCTTCCTCCTCCAATTCTGTGTTCAGGCCGTTGTTCCCATCCATTTATCAGAGCTATCCTCACCCCAGGTACCCATTCTGTCCGCGTTACTTCCTATTGTTCCTGACCTACCATGAATGGCAGTTCCGCGCTACATTCCCCGGAATTACTTACCAGATCGGCAACATGATATCCTCCCCCGCCGCACAGATCCTCTCAACGTCCGCCGAGAGCAAACTCGTCTTCTACAAAGGCAAGTTCCGCCCTGATTACGCTCGGTCGCAGTGGGGTATGATGTCTGCTATATTCTTGTTGTTGGCGTTTTGGCTGGCGATTGGGCATGAGGAGTTGGGGAGTCGGTTTGAGCTTGTCGCGAGGGCGGGGCACAAAGCTTATGACGAAGGGGGGTTGGAGGGTGAGAAGAAGGATGTGTTGGATGAGGAGGAGAGAGGAGAGAGCGAGAAGAGTTCGATGGAAAAAGCGCCTGTCGGGCTGGCGCAGCTGAGACGAGCGAGAAGAAATAGGTGAGTTTCATTTTTTAAGCGTTAGTGTAAATGATGTTGATTTTGCGCGCTTGTTTTCAGCTAATGATTTATGCCTGGAACGATACATGACTCCGAAGACGCTGTGATCTATGTTTTGAAGATTCAGGGGTTATCCTCGCTTGTATTTCTTTTTTGTCATGATCAGGTCAAGTCGCGAACCAAATAATGAAGGACAATCGTTGACTTGCAACTCTGAGCGTAAGGTCGCGGGCGCAAGAACTTGAGCACAAAATTGGCACAAAAGAACATTGTGGATTTACAAGCTTAATGATGATATCATCAAATAAATATATTATGGTTGACATCCTGTTTAAATTCAGGCATGGCGCTCTAATAAGAGAGGTACCTACAAAGTTATTTTGCGTAAGTACTGATTAACCGACTGAGTAAGTAAAACTTACTGTTTCGAAACGACTAAAAGAACGAGCGCAAATAGTGATACGACTTGATAGTATACTCCAAGATCCAGGGCTTCTTGAAAATCGCAATCACAGCGTTCGCGGCATCCTCCTTGAAGAACAGCTCCAAGTTCATGGCCGACTCGTTCGCGCACTCGTTCGCGCGGTTCCGCATCAGCTTCTCGTACTTCTCCAGCGGCCCACCCGAAACCAACATATCCGCCAGGTCGGCTGCGTCGGCCATGGCAAGATTGACGCCCTCGCCTGCGAATGGGCTCATCAGGTGCGCCGCGTCGCCGAGGAGCACGATGTTGTTTGTAGTTGGCCTCGGGCCGCGTCCCACGGCAGCGCATAGATGGAGCGCATCGCTGGGGCCTCCCCGGCGCGAATGAGCTCGAGCAGCGCGTCGTCCCAGCCCTCGAAAAGCTCCAACATCAGCTCGATCTTCTCGTCCCGGGTCTCCGCGCGCGCGACGGTGGACGTGGTCGCTCAGTCTTCGGGCACGCGCACCGCGGAGTACAACCTCATGATGCCGTTAGAGTTTTGCTGCGCCATGAGCGCCTTGCCGTCCGACAGCGCCCACATCATGCCCTGCCCGACGAGCGGCATGAACTGCGGGAACTTGGCCGTGTCGATTTTCGTCTCGAAGAAAGTGATGCCGCTGTAGATGGGGTTGGCCCCGGGCCACGCGAGCGGGCGAACGCGCGACCACGCGCCGTCGGCGCCGACGACGACGTCGACGTTCTCCGCCTTTGCGCCCGAGGCAAATTCGATGATGTAGGTGCCGGTGGCCGCATCCCTGTGCACGGCAGTCGCCTTATGCCCCCACTGGACAGTGCCGGGCTCGAGGGAGTCGAGGATGAGCGAACGCAGCTGGCCCCTGTCGATTTCGGGGTTGTAGAAGTCGGCGCCGGGGTCGGTAGGCTCATGGTAGACCTTGCCCGTCTTGTCGAGAACTCGCAGGTGCTGACCGACTGGGCGGCAGAGCTTCATGAACTCGGCGTGCAGACCTGCATGACGCAGCGCGCGCTGGCCCGACTCATATCTGAGATCCAGAGAACCGCCATCAGAGGCGCGAACTGAGGCGCTGGCGTCGGAATCGTAGATGGTGAAGGAGATATTAGGCCCCTTGCGAAGCTGCAGGATGCGGGCAAGGGTGAGGCCACCTATGCCGGCGCCGACAATTGCAACGCGAGTTGGAGAAGATGACATAGTAGTTGGAGAAGATGACCAAGTTTGGTAGTAAGTTAGAAGTTGTGGCACTTCGGTAGGCTCGCAAGCTGCCTTTTATCTATATAAGAAAAGGGGCTAAAAGGGGTGGGTGTCCTAGACAAACGTCAAAGTGGTAAGCGGACCGACGAAGCCATTGCCAAACAGCGAGCATCCGTTGCATCGCCACCTGATCTCTGGTGCACTCCGGCGTGCATATGTCTTGCGTGATGTAGCTAGGAATGAATATATCTCTCTTCACTCAACCATACAAAGTGCCCATAAGCATCTCTCTTCACCTAACTCTATACAGCATTACGAGTCCTAAAAATTTATTTTTAGACTCGTTCTTTGTC